GAGCACGGCGCCGCCACCATTGGCACTGACCTTCATTAACCTCATAAATGCCAGCAGTGTTTTTTGTCGCAGCTCTTAATGCGGTTATCAGCACAAACACAAACAAATGTGACAGAAGTGTTCTGGGGCTAATACTACACTTTACATCTGTGAAATGCATCACTTCCTCCTCCCCACTACACTCAGACTGTGTAACATTGGGCTGTCCCAACATGGAAACCTGCACCGCTAGCTGTGTTCCAAAACCAGGAACAGCCTCCGCCTCAAACTCTAACTAACCCTGCAGTGAGCAAGATGCACATTTATTCAAGTCCTCTACCTGTCTGTGTGTTGCTGCACCAGGATCTTATTAAGGAATGGATTATGAATGTGAATATAGGCCACTGAGAAGAATATACTCTAGCATTACAGTGTTTGTGTCCAGGTTTACATGTGCTGTTGCATTGGGTATGCACCAAATACAGAAACATTTAAAGATATTGACGTAACTAACCAGGTTAGATTAAAAATAATATAAAAAATGAATAAGGCAAGACATATACCAGTCCTTCCACATGGCAGCACAATGAACAACAGGCTCAGATTTGGACTGTTTATACCATTGTAGCTTGAGTGTAACAATTTTTCAATGAGAATTCAGTGCAGTATTATATTGCACGGAGCAGACTATTTTTACCCTCTTTTATTACTCATATTCAGCTTTTTATTGATGCCATTATTCAAGCTCTAGCACACACCGTGTCAAAATGGTACTGTATATAAAAGAGACCCTTTTTGCGATTTTCTTTTCTTTGTAACTGCAATTTTACTTTAACTTGCCAAAATTAAACATTATTAACACCTCATAAAAAAAGTACATTAAAAGCTACCTTATTACCATTACAGACTGCACAACGAAAATGTATCTCACAAGGTTGAATGCCAGTTTTAGGAGGATTTGTAAGCTGAAAGAGGTTTTAAATCGACAAAGAATGCTGCAGGACAACAAACTACTGGTGAAAAAACAACACATTTGTCTTGGGCGATCAGCCTATGACAGATACAATGTTACCTAACAGATAGCAGGTTAGATATTTTGTGCAGTATGTTCGTTTTTAAATGCTGCTAAGACAACTGTGATTTAGATACTACAGTACTACTACAGAACTCTAAAGGCAGTTTGAAATGCATCAAACAGACAAAAAGAAAAAAAGAACTAGGTTTTCATCCAACAGCAACAATAATCGTTTTTTGTCACAAGCAGCTGCTTACCTGGCTTATTAAACCAACACAGAGCTTGGATTGTTAAAAACAGTAAAATCCTAATGGAGGTTCTGAATTGCTCGGCCTCGGCTCTTCATCCTGACCTTTGCCCTTACCTCGACACAGCTGGTATGAGCGTCATCAGCCTTAAGAGGGAAGCGGGGGCCGGTGAATATCTGCAGCTTCCTCTAACTCTAATGTGTTACAGTCAGACAGTGAGCAGCCCTCGGAGAGCATCGAGGGGCGTCGCGCTCACGTCTCCGCCGGTGGCTCCTTGCCTATCTAAAACGGGGGGGAAGGTGATGACCCCCGTCCTCTGTCATGGCCCGCTGCGAACCACCGCCCGCCTCAGCCTCAACTTTCATCACCCCCCCGACAGTCCACGCTCGACCCCTCCGCCGCCACCTCGCCAGACGCCAGAGCGTAAACAGTAATTGCTACATAAATTATGTGGCACTCGGTGTTTTCCACATATCCCCCCCGGCACTCCTGATGATACGCTGATATACTGTACTGTAGTCGAGAGCACAGGGTGATAAGTGCGGTTGTAAAAAAATAATGTTGGTCTATAAATCTCCGCTCTGCTTATTTTTGTTCATAAAAAGCACACATTGTGGATAAAAGACGTGGAATATGTCAGACATATGCCACAGTTTAAGGTAGCAGAGGGGAAAAAAAGGTGTGCTGATGATTGACAGGTAGGGAGATGTGCTACATTCCCCCAGATGTTCCTGCACAGGACTGTCACACATCTCCAAAAGGATTCAATTTGTGGTACTGACATCCTTAAGGGATATGACCGTAAATCACGAGACGGTGGTTAATTAACAAGCACAGCATGTCCATGACTGCTTCTAGGAGTGGTGACACTGGTCAAACACTGTGCTTAAGGGAAGGCAAACAAACGCAGAGCGAAGTGTACAGCCGCACAACGCAGAGCTAACAGGAGCACTGTAACAATACAAGGAGGTTGAATAGAGAGCAACAGAAAGAGCTAAAACACAGCTGATGAATTTAATAAAGTACACATTCACCCAGAATTATGAGCAGGTGTGACAAGAACTATGAGCAAATAAATCCCTGCTCTGTAATCCTCATTCTGTAATTATTTGTTTTTGCACTCTTCAGCTGAAAACAACTGCAAAGAGGTGTTGGAGGGGGGGGGAAATTAATCAAAGTTGCGGGTAGGAATCTGCTTAGAACCTTTTGAATACACACAGGTTTTAGTGAGTTCATCTACAAATAATCTGCAGTCTTTTCAGGGGATTAAGCCCCAAATGCCATGCAATAATCCCTCTGTGACTTTTTGCCTTAAAGTCTATCCAAATAATTGTGTGTGGAATCTCAAGATGATCAGTTGGCATTTGAGATGAAGGATAATAATGATATAAAAAAAAGTGAAAGCGCTCAATCCGGCTTTGCGTAATTTGTGGTCAACTTTGAGGTAGGGGAACAAATCTTTCAAATCGTGGGGACATATTGAACAAATTGTATTTCTGAGGGCTTAAAACCTCAAAGAAAAAACACAGTCACACAGCAAGGAGAGATGTGAGTGACTGTTCCAGCTGCTGGAGCACAGTGAGTCCACCTCTTGCAGCTTTGGAGGAGTCAGCGGCCATCTGCACTTCCCAAAGACACAGTTCATTTACGAGCGGTCCCCTGAACTGGCCCCTAATGTCCCGTGTTATCAGAGTGAATCAGCAGCATTGATAAATTAGCCGTTCGGAAACACGCTGCAACAGGCCCGTCAGCTAATGTGCGCGCGTTTGTGTAATACTCATATGCAATGCTTAATGTTGTGGAACCAATTCTGTCGTTTCCATTATGTAAATACATTTGCCTCAGCACTATATTTTATGTATTGTCTCCCTTGTCTCAATTACTTGGGCTATTAAAAATCAAGAGGTTATGGAAATGAGGTGCAGTTGTCTGTTTGTAGTTTGATGACAAGTGCAAAGTGTTTATGAAAGCTCGTTATGCATTCAATTGCAGTCGGATACGTCAACACGCTCCGAGCGTTCCTTCATCCATATTCCACAATGCAATGGGGTGGCACGTCAGTATCTTCAAGCAGAAACAGGCACATCGTGTTCGCATCTCTTACACATATAAATAAATTAAACTATATGTGTCATTGCAGTTTTATTTAGATCTTATGTTTTCTTATGGAGGTGGCAAACAAATGTGAAAGTGAGAAGAAAAAAAAAAACATATTTCAGAGTGCCAGTGAGTGTTTGTGGCCGGTGCCAGAGAAAATAAGCGTTTGATGCTTCAGTTTGGGTAATTCACTTTTGAACAGCCAAAATACCTCAGGAAATAATCAAGAAAAAACTAAGAGAGGTAGAACCTTGGTAAGCTTTTAAGCATGGAAGTTTTCACTGACATCTCAATACTGCTTTTTTAATCTTTATAAATGTCATTTCTCAAAGTGAGGCACTATACACAAATGTTTTTAAATTACTCAGCAATCACAAATATGTTTTAAAAGTGAACACTTTGTAGTAAATTGTGATCTTTTTTTTTTTAAATAGACAAAAATCTCAAATTGAGGTGTTGAGATGGAAATGTGTGATTAGTCTAAATGGTTTAAATTATTGGTTTCTTTAGTAAAAGCATAAATGTCATATGCAGAGAAAGTGTACCTTCCTGCAGGTTGCAGCACATAAAAGCACACGGGATTTGTTTACCATGAGCCTCCAGCATTTATTCCAGTCCGGCTAAAGGGAACATTTTGCATTCCTTTTGTGTCTCAGTCACCGAGGATCACCATTTTTTATTAAGCTTCCAAAGACAATTAATTATTATACAGTCTGTCTGGTCTATGAGTTTTATGTACTCAATACAAATGTATTCATAAGGAACTAATCTACTCCATTCAGCAGATTGAGGGAATTTAATGCAAAAATACACACTAATAAAACATTTTGAAATGAAATAATAACCTGGCAACTAATGATATTTTCGTCTCTCTTTCTCACTGCCAAAGGCCCAGACTGTTTCTCAAACTTGACTTTATAGTTTTCAGTAAGTTCCTCCATTTAATGAGGCAATACTAGTTTTATATGGAGGCGACAGAAAGAAAAAGAAGTTGAAAAAAACATGAGGAATATCATTACTGAATTTCAGGACGTTATTCTGGTACAGTGGCTATATGACAGGGACATTCAACTTTCTTTAAAAGAAAAAGGCAGTTTGACGACATTGCTTGTGGCGATGCTTTAGTATATCAATTGAAATATACAAACACGAGTAGAAACTGGCTTGGTAATCGTAGCCTACTAAAATTATGGAAGGAATCTATTGTTTTTATAAAGTTCAACGGGGCTTGGTGACAAGCTCTGTCATTTAAGGGTGCATCAACGATGCGGATATAAATAGTAAAAACAAGCCGATTTTATTTATAACCACACTAAACTTGTATTTAAGCCGTTTCGTTTTTGTCATTGTCGGTGTTCGAGACAATGGACGCGTTTTTAAGGACCGTAAACGCAGCAGCAACTAAACTTTGAACGGTGAAAACAATGCGTCATTAAAAGCCGAGGGCAAATGTGAACAGAAATCCTTTCTTCCTGTTCATTGTTCAACAATTCCAAGGTTCTCAACTAACCCCGCTGCGGAGCGTTGTGGAGCCGGCAGCAGCGCAGGGTCGCCGGGCTGCCGCGCGCTCCGATGCCCGGCCAAGGTGCGCACGACCTCTGCTCACACGGGGAGGAAAAGAAAGGGGGGGGAAAGGACACAAGTGTGGTAAAAAGTTGTACCTTTTCTCTTCGATCGCCTCCTCCTTCTCCTCTTCAGCTTGCATTTGACCTGTCCGCTCTGAGCCCCCGACGCGCGGCTGTTGTTTCCAAGTACGGATGCCATCAGCGCAGCCTTTGGAGCGAAGCGCAGGGTAACTTGGACTCGGCGGCTCGACTCTCCTCGTCTCTGCCCTCCGTTTGATAACGCAGCGTCCTCGGCTTTTACGCAGACTATGTTTTGGGCTCTGTTCTTTTATCCCTCTGAACCAGGGGGGAGCTTGCTGTTTCTATATCACCTCGGAAACTCCAGCTCGCCTCCCTCCTTGTCGAAGCTCTCAGCAGCACTGACAGCACTCCGCTCCTCGCACACAGGTTTTTCCGCGCCTCTGCAGAAATTTGGGCATCAGCCACTTTGGATTCAATCATGCAGGACGCCTATCCATTTGCTGCCGAGCTTTCTAATTAGGGTCCAATCGTGGCTGTCTGGGAGGTGTGACATCAGCAGCGACAACCACCAACTCACACCCCTTATTCACCCGCTGCTTTTTTAAATGTTTCCTACATTTGGACTTATTCCTCGCACTTTTTCCTCCACACTGCAGGGGGATTTTGTTCTCTTCCGCCCTCCACAGGGGGATCAGAGGTCAGTCTGGTAGGGATTTTTGCTCAGGGGCACTTCAGTAGAGGTTTCGCAGCATGAAGGACTCCTCCATATGCCACCATGATGCAAACTCACAACTGCCTTTAGGCACACAAAAAATGTGATGTATTAGGAAAAAACGATTATCCACTTGTCACAAAGTCCTCTGTTAGACAACTTATTCTCCTTATGTCTTTTTTTATCTCCTGAAATTTGGATTTTCTTTTCAGGATTATGTATCTAAAGCTAATTCCCTCTTATTCCCAGTCTCTGTTCCAAAGTCACTGACAAGTCTACAAAGGGAGATTACTCTAAAATGCATAATGTTCCAATTGCACACACTAAATGCATCTTTGAGGAAGTCAAACTGTTCAATCTTGCAGCTTTATTATGATCCTTATTTAAGACAAAATGTTTCTTCTTTTATTTTGAAAATCCTGTTTGGAAGTGTCAGGTGACCTTCAGCGTGGAGGCAGAAACTCTCCTGACAGTGTGTTATGGCCGCAAAGTTTGAAGCTTGTGACATTTTGGCATTTTTGTGCGAAAGTGCAGAGTCGAGAAAGCATTGGTGGCTTTCCTAGCTGGAGGTTATTGTTGTATTCCCTTGGCCTCCCTCTACTGCGGAGGTCAGGTGTGTGTTGGTGACACATTTATGGCTGGGATAGGTGGGGGGGGAAAATACAGATTTGTTCCGAACCAATTCTATATTTCCTGTAAATGCAGTCAGTTTTTCCTCTATCTTTTACCCTTATTGGCTTTTATCCTCATTACTTCTGTTGTTATAAGAGGGAAAACAATGCATTTGCAGAAACAACTCAATTGCTGATGTCAGATTGAAAAGTGACTTTGAGGCTGTGTTGTTGGGTGGAAACATTTCCTCCGGCCCGAGGGGGGCAGAGAGAGGAGGGGGGAGAGGAGAGGCCGGGGCCGTCCGCCAGGCTGCAGCCTGCCCTCAGGACGCCCACAAATATCCATGTAAATTGCAGTTTAAGAGAAATCAATAAAAGTGACAAGTTGCCAATGCCACTATCTGGGGCAGTAATGAAGGTGTGCTGGGGGTGGGGGGGCTGTAGCGTACATAGATAACAGCAAACAGGCTGGGTGGGGCAGGGGTACGGGTTACAGGCACATGCACAGCAAGGTCAGTTGGATGGACTAAAAGGGCCACTAAGGGCTGGGAACTAACCTGGATCCATGTTGCCATTAGGACTACAGCACTGCAGCAATGTTGCACAGGTAAATCAAATGAAACAATACAAAAGTACACAACAGCATATTCTGAAAGATGTGTTGCAGGTAAAGAGAAGTGCATTGTATAACTCAAGTTAGGGAGAGACGAGGCGGCCTTGAACATATGATACATTTCCAAGTTCATTAAAGCTGTGGTTCCCTAAACAGATGTTGAACTGTTTTACCAACTGTGTGAGAATGTAATGATTAATCAGTCAAAATTGAGTTTTATTTCTTATTTTTGTAGGCATGTTTTCCCTTATTGCATAATAATGTGTGTATGAGGGACTAAGGTCCTTGGACCCAGGACATTGCAGTTATTATAGCATGCGATGCTACTGAGACGTTTCAAAAAAGGATTGGAATGAGGGTTATCATATTTATTGAATGCCTATGGAAAAAAGCCTGTTAGGAACTGCTTTTTTTTTTTAATTCATTTTGATTAATCGATTTTTTTCTGTGCAAAAATAGTGGAAAATGTTTACCGTTCAAAAGAGAAACAATTTAGCATTTTCCTTTAACAACAGTATAAAACTCAAATGTATATAATTTGGTGTGATATAAAAGACAACAAAGCAGAATTGTTTTTACATTAATGAAGCTGGTACGGGAAAAAGGGTGGTATTATTGCCAACAAATACATGACTCAAATGATTATAACAGTCATCAAAATAGTTGATGAAGTGATATCACACATTGATCCAGAGTACAGTGAATTGAAGGATGACTTGGAAGAAATATGCCATTAAATATACTGTTTGTTCAATTAAGGGATTTGGTTGTGAACTGATTTTCTGTTCATGTAATGGATGTATGGATAATTAAAAAAACATCTCTATTTCCTGCACATGTCTGTGTTTATTCACTACTATTATTTAGCCCCAGACTTGGCGTTGGTTTGATGTCATATCTATGGATTAAAGAGTTAGATTTAAATTGAGATTACAGTAAACACTCGGCAACAACTCCTCTTTTTTCCATCATCAAATCAGGCACCTGCAATCTAAGATAAGGAGGCCAATCAGTACGCTAGTAGCACACATTCATTTTCTGCATTTTTCATTGAATTATTCTTCTTCATTACATTTGAGGCTGTTTAAAATGTCTGGTCTACATGCCTCTCAGATTCTTGCAAGCCCAGGCAGGTCAGACTGTATTACACCATTATATTAAATGACTTCTATTATATAACGGACTGCTCCGGATTTAAATGTTGTATTTTCGAACTCAGGGATAAATAACATCTATTCTAAATGTAGCATTTAGATCATCTTGCAAATGTATACATGTTGTTACCACCATGTGACGGATGTTGAAGGTGCACCTGTACACATACTGTAGTGGCCGATACCGATATCCACACCGGTTGGGAATTGAATTATGATGCTTGCGTGCAATAAAAGTATCCTGGAGTCTAAAAATAAATGTCTACCCTTCAAAGCCCACCTGTCCCCTCAGCATCAGGTGTTCAGTGCAGCATGAGCAAAGGGATCATGGTTGACTTTTAAAATCTGGCATCGGAAATGAATAACAAAACGTTTTATTCCTCCAGCTGGAAGCCCTAAAAACAACTGCTACTGTAGCTCAATATAAATCATAGCCCTGTCTAACATTAACAGCCTAAGTGATTGCATAACAAAAACACTAATTCAGGTGTGAGAACCGGGCTTATATGAACATCTTTATCTCCTCAAGCCCTAGACGGCGAAAGCATGTGGCAGCCGTTTTAATAAGCAACATACTCCAGGTATTGAGATTGTCAGGATATTCCTGGAATGATAAAAAAAATCAAAACAAGTTTCAAGTGGGGTCCAAACGAGGAGAGGAAGTTACATTTGTAACAAGCTGTTTTTGGTGAGTGGATAAAATAATGTTTTTTATAACAGCAGGTAAAGTGGGCTTTTGGCTGTCTTCCTTCTTGTATCTAAACGTTATACTTTATTCTGGCTACTAATGCCAGCAGAGTGAGAGAGGAGAACATACAAGGACATTGGTGACGTGAAACTGAACTTACAGTTTTTAAAATACTTTCATGACCTTGTCACTGTAGCAGAGAGCAAATGGAGGCAATACTGCAAAGTTGGAATTAATGTCAGGGTTTTGAGCAAGCTATTCCTTAATGTACCTTGCAAACATTACCAACACAAAGCGCTCTAATTGCTAGTTGCCCACACCTCATTTAGAGGTTGCATTCCTTGGCCGTATTTAAAACTTTTAAAGTGACATTGAACATTTCCTTCTGCAGCTGAAGACAGGGGGCTGCATTTCTCGCTTCCGCTGATGAAGTGTCGCCAGTGTACCTTTTCTTCAGCGACAATCTCCTTTGGATGACTTATTTTCCTTTTTCAACCTCACCCCGCCCTTCTTAAGTGACACCCATTAATCACATTAGGGTCTTTGGGAGAATTGTCTGCTGAGCGTCAAGTCTTGGCTGACCCCAACATTTGGAGAGTGAAGATAAAGACGTTGCACTGACAGCTCTGAAATAGCCCCTTTTTTCTCGGGTCAGCGTTCAGCGGAATATGAATATTATTATACATAAAAAGAGCGGAAAAACAATTGAGTCTTTACTTCAGAGGAGCTGACTGACATTGGGAATTCTCAGTGTTTTTTCTGCTTTGGATAGATTGCATGGGTAGGTTTCAAATTAATGGATTGCTAGCAAAAAGCTTCACGTGGTGACTTCATGTGCAAATGTATTGAATTAATAAAATGTTGTGATATCTTTCCCTATCTGGAAAGAAAGCATCTCCTGACATACGGTCTAATAAAATACTCGGAGTCTACGATTTTGCAGATCAATGGTGATTGGGTTTAATACTGGATTCTTTCATTTCTGGAAGCATTGAATATTATGGCGCTCTTTGTGAGTCTACATTCCAATCAAAATGTCTCCCTGAATAGGAACTAACATCATTGCCCTTAATGTCACGTAACATTATCAGCTCTGTGGTTTAGTACAATGGAGCCATTGTGTTCTGTGGTGAGGGGGGCTTATCAGTGAAAGACAGGAAAGGAGAAAGAAGAGAATGAATAGAATAAAAGTAAATTCAATCTGTTTAGCAAAGGAGATTTCTCAAAATAGTTCTTCACAATGTTGGATTCACTCACCTTGTGCGACCGAAATTAAAAGAGAAATATTAAGACGTGAGGTTGTATATGCTTAATATTTATTTGAACACTAAATGTTGGTTAGGGACTGAGGTTATAGGACTATCTGTTCATATAAGTTGTCATAAGTTGTATCGTCAAATGAGAATCAGTGCTAATGATCATTTTAACTCATTAGCTCCCAATTTCTGAATGGGA